TAACAAAAAAGAACTGGAAGAACTTCAGGAAAAGCAAAAACAGGAGAGTGGAAAGAGGGGAAATGATTGTAACTCTTCGATCCTTGAAATTTGTGCAATATGGTATAACGTGCAAAGTTTGAAATAAAGATGTCCCCCTGAGGAAACAGTAGTAGCAAGCTACAGCAAAAACATTTCTAATCAGAATGCTATGTCTCATTTTTGATGTATTGTAAAATATAGTCTACAAAAAATAACATTGCGAAACGTTTGAATGAAATGAAGGCTCAGTGCATGTCATGCAAAGTCGAGTGGTGCTAAACCACAATGAAAAAATAAGAGAAAATATTATATAAAGAGAGAGAATTAAGCGAAGCTTGACTCCTTGATCCAAACAATAACGTTCCCTTGCTTTCTCTTCCTCGTCATCTTTCACTTATGCCCTTCGCTCTTCTTCCTACAGTGCGGCAAAAAGTTTTGATCTTATTTTATCCGCTTAATATTACGTTTCTCTTTTGTAACTTAGATTTAATGATTCCTAATAGTTTCTTGTCATGAGCTTGCGCACAAACTAACTCTTGTAAAGTTTAAATAGACAGTCATCTGTGTTTCAGGAACAGATTAATCCATTTTACATTTATTCGCGTGGAAAAATTAATTTTGGTTTACGAACCTTTAAGATTAAAAATGAATCGCATTCGCGAAACGAGAACTCTCTATTATTACCATTATTATCTCTATTATTACTACCTATTCTAAAAGCGACTAGTATTTCAGAATCAAAGCATAACATCACATGAAAAACTAGAATGTAATACACATCTGTATTATACATCTTCTAAGGCGACTCCCAAAGAAGACAAATATTATCTGGCATTTTAGAAAGGGTTTATAGAATTTTTTGTAAAATATCAAATTAATTTGGGTGAATGTATTTGGCATTATCGGCTTACAAATGTTGTAATGTACCGCGCATGTAATACACACATTAAAAATAAAATAAGCTTAAATAAATGTGTATGTGTTCTTCTATTTTCGGAAAGGCGGAGGGAGGAGAATTATTTAACAATGATAAAAGGAATGCATAGGCAAAAAATCTTCAGAAATGCTGACGGTACCTGGTTGCAGCCATCTTCCTTTATTCTTTAGTGGTGCACATCTGTATCTAGGAAAATTAACAAATCGCTAATTCTTCCTTCATTTTTTTTTTCGTCTTCTGAGACAAGCTGATGTTCATGTTCATTTTCCATAGCTTGATGTTCCTGTTGCTGTGCAAACGAATGGTGATAGTATAAGGTATTTCTCCCGCCTTCCTAGCATGACTTCCAGGTGTGGTGGTCTGCACGCTGGGCGCGTATTCCAGAGGTCCGTGGTTCGATTCCCGGCGAAGGCGTTACTCATTTCACATCTCCTGCTTCCAAAAATTCCTAATGTCTCTACAGTGGAGCCCGAACTAAAAGGGTGGTGGATGATGATTCTCCACAGCCAGGATTTAGCGACTGGGTTTCCTAAAAACCCGAGTCACCCTTTAAAAGGGGGAGTATATAAGGTATTTCTCCCGCCTTCGTGGTGTGGTGGTCTCTACCCTGGGTGCGTATTCCAAAGGCCCGTGGTTCGATTCCCGGCGAAGGCGTTGATCATTTTTCAATCTCTCTTGCTTCAAAAAAATCCTAATGTCTTTACATGTGACAGGTGACGGGGACGCAGAACTTGAATCCAAAAATTAGTACCGGTTCTCAGTATCAAGACATTAGTGCCATTTTTGGAAGCTATGCTGTGGTTTTAGTTGCCGATGTCATCGGAAACCATTTTAGCACACGAACCTTAAGAAATAAGCATTGCAGTACATGTGACTGTTTTCCTATTTTAAGTTGAAATGAATTGCTTAGCAATAATCAACGCTTTTTTTCTAAAAGTAGACTAAATAAGCTAACACCCAACTTCGTTTAGGTAGCTTTCGTTTCATACAAGTAAAAATTAAATCCTTGTTTAGTTTTATTTCGATAAAAATAAAAGCGAAATTATGCAATTTACGTTCAATAACCACATAAATAAAAATTTAATTTATTGCTTTATTTTACTTGAAACAGAAATGGGAGACGCGTTTAGGCAAATAAAAAGTAACTTTAGCATTCATTATTGAAGAAATGAGCTGTATTGTGAAATTTTCAATATTGAAGAAATGAGTAGAATGTTTTTCATCATTTTTGACTGCAATAACATTTTTTTCTGTTTGAGTTTTCGTTGAGAAAGATTAGGATAAATGAAATAAAATTCCTCTTATCTGTATTATAATAAATTATACAGGTCAAAAGTACAGAAAAGTGACAATTCAATTACATGGATTTTTTTATTTCTGAATGCTCTTTGATCTTATTTAAATCGGATAACTGAAGTTTTGTTCATGTATGAAAATTTAATAATCCGAACTTACCCTGATCCCATTCAGCTGAAAAATTGAGGCTGAACTATATAATTCCTTTCATATATGTGATGCGACGTCTTCAGTCGCAGTCAATGCAATAAAGTTACCTTTCTCTACAAAACGGTGTAAAGAACGGAAAGAGAGAGGAATACTTCGAAAAAATGAGTACCTTCAAATTCATTTTACGAATAAACATTCTCGACTTCTCTCTGCCCCGTCGAGCCGGTTAAGAATCTGATTTCAAAACAATTTTATCCTTTGTGACCGGCGCGTGTCTCAAGGTCAAATACTGCCTTCATTGCAGTCGAAGTAGTGAGAAGAGCAGGGTCGCTGAAACCAAGAATGGACAAGGAAGGGACAAATAAGGTTGAAATTTTTCTTTCGTTATATCAGCCGATGTTATAAAAGTACGGTTCTACACTTTTCAGAGTGTACTTACTTTACCTGACATAAAGCTGTTCCAGTACAAAACGAAGTCGCGTAAAATTTCTCACGCAAAAATCTGATTTGGGGAACTTGACGAGTTGAAGTAGTCGTAAGTAGTTGCTGACTGCGCGACCTATGTTAGTGTTACTCTCTGATTAACACACGTACGCTGAAAATGCAACTGATATTCATCCTAATTGTATACTACACAACAAAATTTAGCTTATGAAATAAATGATTTCAGAAAATTTACATTAACCATTATTCGGACATATTTATTTAATTCAAAAGTGGCATAATATTAAATATTTCAATGCTTCGATTTTATTAGATATCGCACTGAACATAAAAAATCTGATGTGTACACCACATGACTTCCTTGTACGGAATATAAAATTTATACACAATTTTATTTCATTTCATTTAAACATATTGAATTAACAGTTAACGAATTTTGAATTAAATTTACTTCATCGATAGCGCATAAACCACAATAGAATAAATGCACTCTTTAAAATTCGCTATCTTTATTCACCATAGCGGCAATTCGGCGCTACGTTCACTTAACAGCATTAACATTAATTTTATAACTCAGAGTGGACAAAAGTTATAACATCCGAAGAATTACCACAAGTTTGTATTGAAATACTATAATAAATCTAAAACGATGTATAAAATAATTAAACAAATAAAAAAGAAACAGAATTTCGCAGACGATTCCGCTTACCTAATGCGCATGCGCTACTAATTAATTCAGTTCTCACTTCGCGGCAAAGTAAAAATACATAAAATTTCAAAATACTTTTATTAAAATTTGAAAGCTATAGAAAAACATGAAACACCAAATACAGTTAAAACAATAAAAAAATTACAATTAAAATTACAGTTTCTACACCAAAACAAGCTAATAACTTAAATGTTAATTCCAGAATGAATTAAGCATAATTTAATTCGTAATAATAAAAGAAGTCGTTACTTTGTTGTTGCGCAGCTTAGTTTCTTTAGACTGGCAACAAATCCACTATTCTGCTAAGTTTCAAATGTAAACAAACATCGCTGCCACGGCAATCAGAAATTACTCTTATCCGCACTTAAAAAAACTTTAATTGTTGATAATTCTACAATTATTGCATGCAGGTTAACTAAAAGGCATACAATTAAATTAAGGCATAAATTAAAATTAAGGCATAAAAATCTTAACCAAAACAAAATAATTCAATTATTTTTAAAGCAAAAAATGCACGATTTATAAACATATGAGAAATAAAGAAACTGAGCTCACTGAACCGAGTAACAGAGTGATGTTTATATACGTTTGGTGCAGCCGATTGCAACTAAAATGGGAGGTGCATATGTACATGTTATAGCAGTCCTATGTACAAAATGTCAACGTTCTGAAGCTACTTACTCGTTTTTCAGTTATGCGAAAATACGTAGGTACAGACGCTATGAAAAAAATCTCTTCATAATTAATTTTAAATCAGTTTTATAATTTTTTTGGAGCAAAAGAGTCCTTTATTCTGTTCTTACGTACAGATGTACAGATTATTTATGTCAGTTTGAAAATTTAATACTTAGCTGTCAATATATTTGTTTAAATTACAAAATGTAATTCATGTTAATTTTGTTAATGCATTACGTATGTTTTGATTAATAATGAGTGAGTGAAACTTAAAATTTAATTAAAAAAAATTATTTTTCCAAAATTCTTTTCATTTTGTCAAAAAAGATTTCGTCGCGTAAGCTAGTTTCTGGTCTGCATGCAAACTGAGTTTGAGACATCCGAAAAATTTGGAATCGTATAAAATCATTTCCTCGGAAAAGCGAGTTCTAAATCTTTCTTTCCGTTCTTCTAAAAACTGCAAAGTCGGTATTACTTTTACCGACGCTTGAACACCAGATGCTTCCAAGAAGAAGGTAAATAGAATAATTTCTTTCCTCCCCCTTGTTAGTTAGCCCGCACATTTCTGTAAATAACGGCGACTGAAAATCCCAACCGCAAGCACGTGAGAAACGCAAGGTCACATTGAATGATAGCGAGACCTTGGCCGCAGACGACGGCACGAAGTGTCTAAAAGTTCCTTTTCGAAAAATGGAGAGTTGTTTTGATTGCGAGATAATAGGGTCTCTTCATAAGTTTAACATCTTCGAATTTCGAAAATGAGCAATAATTTATTTCATCGATTAGAAGTATGCAGTAACAGACCAGCAAATGTCCAGAGCGTCAAATCTGCAATCATGCTGAGTGTTTTTCTTAGTTCTAACCAAGAAAAAAAGTATTAGAATGTTTATGTTTTTATGATTTAAATAGTATAAATATACAGACTACATGTTATTTAAAGAATTTTATATATTAGATGGTAATGTCGGTACAGTGGTTAGGGAAGCCTACTGCGTTACCGAAGGGCCCGGGTTCGAACACCCTCCCACCAGAACTTAACTCCAGGGGATGCTGGTTCGAATGCAGAAGAAGACATAACTTACAGTCCGTCCTTTTCATAGGCAGCAACCTCGGTGCCTCTACAATTAGGTGCCTCTACAATAAAATTGCCACCATCTCTGGGCTTAGGAGTGGCCACTGCTAAATAGGCAAGTGCCCGCCATTGGATTAAAAAAATATTAGATAGTAATGAAATGATTTAATCAGCATAAAAGGTCTTATAGATTATTTTCAGTTAAATTATAAATAATAAATTACTGGGTCTTGATTAAGTGCACTAAAAAGTGAAAAAAGTTAACTATTATTATTGTTACGAAATGTAAAGGCGCGGTAAGATTACTTCCCCGCAAAGCAGTTTTAGGGTTGCATAAAATAGCAAGGAAGGCAGGGTTGCCACATTTGGCTGGAAATCGCCCATTTGGCGACAAAATTGGCTATATGCCATGGACGGATGGAGAACCTTCTGGAAAGAATTCTTATTCTTACCGGTTTAGTCCAGAATGTTCTCGAACACCAGTTAAAAGTTATATAAACTCTGCTGGTACGTCGAGACGGCGAGTGAGTGTGCCTCGTCTAGAGTGCGAGTCAGCTAGTCTCGAGTTAGTCAGTCCGTGCGGAGTCGATCGAGTTGACAGCCGGGCAGCGAGTGCACCGAAAGAATCTCTTAGCGTATCGTGGTAAGTGCATCGTCGAGAGAGTGTGTTGAGCTCCGGGAATGACCGAACCGAAAAGTCGGGAGCTGTGCTCTGTGTGTCGAGTCCATCGTGATTTGTTGCGTGGAGAGACTCGAGAGTATGTGGAGTTCCGAAAACGATCGAGGAGAGTTGGGAGCTGTACTCTGGTGCTTTGCAGTGAAGCTGTCTTCATCGTGATAGCATGATTGCCTGAAGGCTGCGTCGCTGATTGTTCCAGCGTGTTTATATAGTAGATCTTCGACGACTGCAAAAGTGTTTTGGAGCTGTCCTGTTTAATACCGGCAAATAAAGTGTGTTTCGATATTCCATCAAGTAGTGTTGCCATTATTCACTCCAAATCTCCGAATCCCGTAACGAACGTACAAGAGGAAGAAAAAAAACGTATCATTATAATATTTTTAGTTATGTGTGACTAAATTAAAAATAACACACGGGAAAAGGTAAACAAAGACTTCCCTTAACAGCTATTTTTCCTTTATTTTTGCACCACAGCTTCTCTAAACACGTGCGTTTTTTTGTGTATTCACCAGTATTTTATGCACTGTTCCCTTTTCAATCCATTGCCTTATGATGAAATTACTTGTATTTTATTATTTGTGATTTTTACTTACATTAACACATATTTTTATAATTATTACTGTTATTTTACAATTTATACTCTAAATAATATTTTTCTTACCAAGCAGTACAGTATCAGTATCATGGTCTAATTCCAAAATCAAACTTTACATTGTAATTCAGACTGTTCATCTGTGATTCATTTCGGATTGTATCGTATAAATTCTTTTGGTACATAAGTACATTCTTTTAATAAATTTTAGTATATATCTGCCCCTCATCTTCTATTTTTGCACTTAGGTGATCATTTGCATAAATGAAACAGTCAAACTGAATCGTAATAACCTTCACCAGTGCATGTTTAATATGCTTAACAGCTGGAAGACGAGATAATACTTACTTAGTTTATGTGTAATGTGTTTCTTTTCAGATGATGTCTAAAATGACGACTGACGATATTACCTAACTATCATTTGAGAATCATAATGTTACTTCTTCATTATAAATTCTCAGATAGAGGTAAATAAATATTGTGTCAGCTGGATGTTCGATTTGCAGGAATGATAGTCAAAGAATAGACGAACTAAGGCATACAAGGTAAGAATGATTATAATTTCAAGAAATAAATCGTTTAAAAGCTTTCGTTTTATAGCTGTTTATCCGTCAGGGTATGCAAATAACACGATATTATGCCATCTGAGAAAGCTTACATCCACAAGGTCGAGTGCATGGACCCAAAACGCTCTTTTTATTTTAAATTCAATAATACAAATAAAAATCAGGTTGTTAAAATTTCTCTCTCGTTGTTGAGTTTATACAATATTCAAAATTCTGCTTAGTTCACATAATGTTACTGCTGCTAGGTGCATATCATATAATCTTATCAAAAGCTTGGTAAAAGTTTTGTATTCTTTTCTTTTAAATGTATCTTTTGTTCTATTCTGCAATTAAACTTGCTGTAAGTATTTGCTGTCAGGCAATTTTCTTATTTGTGATTTATTCTATATCCACTGAAACTCTCGGCTAACATTTTACCAGACTGTCACCCTCGGCTAACATTTTACCAGAACAAGTCATTGGCCAATAATGACAGTATACCCTAGGGAGATAAAATTGCCCATAACTTCGCTCCATGTCTTTCGGAAACGCAAATTCTCGTTAAACTATTTTATATGTGTGCACATAGATAATGCTCGAAGTAACTGTCTGCATTTGGCATGAAGTTGCTATGAGCTTGCGAAGCAAGCTACCAGTGTTGTAACTATAATAAAAAAAAACCAACACTTTTCCCATTGGCTTATCTCAAGCATATTACAAATGTGCGCCTTATGAATAAACGGCAGGAGCAATGGTCAACAACCAAGAGCAAACGTGTCTTTCAGTTCTGTCCAAAAGTCAAAATAAACTGTGCCAGCGATGGGCTATTGCTTCGTAGCAACAGCCCATCGCTGACACAGTTCATAATGGGTTCATGCAGTCCTTTCCCTTATTGGTCCTTTCCCAGCTATCCAGCGTTAGACATTTTGTAAGAAAACCCAGATCACAGCTGCGCTAGGTTATATTCGATACTGAGTGGTATAGGTTACACCATTCGGTGCTGGACAGTAGAATATTCGGTACTCGGTTATCCATCGCTGACACAGTTCTGACGGTCCAGAAACATTTTAGCAAGCGATGAATATCATTCTTCATCCGGTCCTGGACAAAAATTTCTTTAGGAATTAGAATAAGGAAAAAGAAAAGAGGAAAGTGACACAGATGCTCCAACTAAGAAATATTTCTAAGAAAAATAAACAGGTATAAATGGCCTGTCACTCAACAAACGTGAAATATAAGAATGCAAGTTTACAATACTGAATTTGCCATAAAATAGAAATGGTTTACCAAAAAATGAACCGCTGAAAGCTTGGCAGAAAATTTTATCGCAAGACATACTAGATACCGTTGTGCATTATACTAATTTAAAAATTCATGAACTCCATAGTAAGCCAAGCAATCAGGATTGCACAGAGTACAGAGAGACAAATTCTATTCAAACAAATGTTTTCCTCGGTTTTCTGCTAAATTTTTCGGCTGGTGATGTCAGCAAAAAGATTTGCTGTTTTATTGGCTTGCCTGGGGTTCGATACTCAGAAAGAGAGAATGACAAGGGAAAAACTGACCCGGCTGCAGCAATCTCACATATGTTTAATAAATTTAATCAAAATTCTCAATACGCTTACATTTTAGGAGCCTATGCAACTGTCGACGAAATGTTGGTTGGCTTTACAGGAAATTAAATTCAAAATGTATTTACTAAGCAAACCAGTAAAATATGATTTAAAAGTCTATTGTTTTATTGATGCTCGAATCAACGTCATATACAACATATATATCTAACTGTGGTAAAGGCACTGACTTGTTAGAAGATGTTACACATGAAGAAAAACGGTTTTCTATTCCAACACAAGCTGTTATTCGCCTTTGTAAGCCTATATTTGGAAGCAACCTGTGATAACTGGTATTCTTTGATTGAGCTCATGGATTGTCTTTTAAAAAATAAACTTACTTACGTTGAGACTATGAAAAAAAAAAAAAGAAAAATGGAAATTCCCAAAGAATTTCTACCTTCCAAAACAAGACCAGTGGGATCCACATTGTATCGCTTTACAAGTAATAACACATTGATTTCCAGAGTGCAAAAGAAAAACATAGCTGTCATCATTATTTCTTCAATGCATCACTCCAAACATCATGATAACGGTTTGCCTGAAATTAATGCATTTTATAATAATACAAAATCTGGAGTGGATGTTGTAGACGAAAAAAGCACTAAATATTGCTGTAATAGAAGAACGCAACGCTGACCTATGGCTCTGTTTTACAGAATGGTGAACATGTCTTCGATAAATGCATCTATCATTCATCAGTCATGTGGCAAAGCAGATCAGCTAGAAAGAATTGATTTTTTGAAATTATTGGCCAAGCAACTGTTTCAACCGCTGCTTCTTGAAAGATCTCAGAAAACGTATTTACTTCAGAAAACGTATTTACTTCAGAAAACGTATTTACTTCAGAAAACGTATTTAGTTAAAGTAGCAGTATTTTCAGAATTTTAAAGACAGCACCTGAGGCATCAGCTGATGTCAAAAAAAGGTTATCTAGAAATCAGAGAAAATGTTTTACTACTTGTAATCCAAAATTAAAAAGAAAAACTAATCATTTATGCTTCCAATGAAAAAAAAAATGTTTCTAGTGCTCTAAAAACATATGCCTTCAATACATTGAAAATGTAAAGGAATATTAAATGATTGTTTATAGTGTTTTGAACCTTTGTCAGTTTTTTACAATTTTATTTTGGAGGTAAAGATGTTTTAATTTTTTTGTAGTTTAGACCTTACCAAATATGTTTTCAATAAGAAAATGTGTTTATTTATTTATTTATTTTTAAAAAATAAGAACGAACGTTTTATTATTTTTTATTTTTTTTAATTGTTTCTGATTTTAGATTTTTTAGCTTTAATTTGTTACTCAGTTGGTAATAAATATTAAAAATTCTTTCTTACATCTGTTTAATCAATTATACAATGAAACATAAAAAGTTTTTCAATAACATTAAACACACAGCCTTTTTTTTTTTTTTTTCATTTTGGAGTCCCATGGACTCCGCAACGAACTGAGTGTTAAAATTTCCTGCCACGCCGGTTAAGAGTCAACTTAGTAATTAAGAAATATTGTTCTGTATTATCCCCTTATATTATTTGCATCACATTATCACCTTATATTATTTGAAAATTTAAATAATTATTAATAGCAAATGTTATTTCGCAGGCTTACGAATATCATTCTACCCAAGAAACTGAAATTCTGGATATTTGTAGTGTGGATAAATGGAGCTATAGAGCAACAAAACCTCTTATAATCAACTATTGACTACATGAAATAATTAATTAAGCATCATGTTTTTCACATAAAATTCAATTCAACAGCAGTATCATCACGAAGTATTTAAAAAGGGCATATCCTTAGAATTTGCTAAATAAAAATATTATATATTTAGAATAAAAATGCTTTTTCCGTACAATGTTGCCATTATTCGATTTGAAATCGTTGAGTGTTTTTAATCACAAATTCGTTAAAGGTTTACAGAATTTGAAATAGATAATTAAAACAAATTGAAAATTCGGGCGTCCAGGTGCCCATGTTCGGGTGGAAGATTACGTTATTCAAAATTTTGATGTCTCTAGGTACCTTCGTTTTGTCACAGTATGAGAAACATACATATATTCATGCAGAATGCTCATTATTTAACTTCTTTAAATATAATACAGGGCGATAATATTTGGTAGCAAAAGTTAAAAAGTGATTAACCGTTTATAGGGAAACGGCACAAAATGCCGTTTTGAGACAAAGAACCTTTCTAGGCTAAAACGAAAGACAGCGAGAGAAACACAGTGTGCAATATAATGCCTTTCGTATTTGTGTTACCTTAACCTGTGAACTATATCATCACCCCATGAATACTTAATCAACAGTAGAGGCATGGAATAAATGTGAACAAAGCGAGTAAAGAGAAGAGGAAAAATAAAAAGAGTAAAGATGTGACCTTGAAATCATTGCTAAATAGGGAACAGAGGCAAGTCGCCAACGAAAGAAACCTTCGGAGGATTTTCAATAGTGTGGAATACGCGAATGCGTGTCTTTTTATTATTATTATTATTATTATTATTATTATTATTTCCGCCGAATTTTAATGCTTTTATTTTGCTCCTATTATGCATCAGGCATATGAAACTCACGTTTCTAACGTCTTTCATTTGTCTTAAAAATTAAAACTTACATTATTTAATTTTACTTTTAAAGTATAATGTTATAAAATATAATGTTGTTATAATTGATATTTCTAACAGGTAAGGAATTTGATTAATATTATATATTCATACCAGCAGTATAATTAATGAAAAACGTTTTCTAAACAATAATCGCCTTGCACTTTTTTTTTTTTTTTTTTTTTTTCATTTTAAATTTGGTTACTCTGTTTGTTATTCGGGTCAAATATTAAAAAAATAATTTTTCACTCTTCTCTACGCATAAGATTTTCTTGAAAGTTTTTACATACACGTATTTGCAATGAAAATGCAATAAATATTTTGCAAAGTTTTTTTCAAATTTCATTGCGTATTTTCTTAATCTTTACATTTTAGCATTACATTTTTCTTTCATATTTTTGTTTAATGGTCATACTAATCATGGCAGTATTTTGAGTTTTACACCAACTGCCTCAAACGCAAATAAAATGCGAGCCAAATTCTCGATATGAAAGCAGATGACGGGCCATATTTTTTTCCCTTTTCTTTTATACTGAATGAAAATTTATCAACAAAATAAAAAGTATTTTAACTAAATTTTTAGTTTCGCTTTCTAAATATTTATCATGGCGTATGAAACAATAATCACAATAACGCAAAAGGAGAAAAAATATAAAATTTATATTTATTTATTTATTTTAAAATCGAAAGTTTAGTAAAGGCAAAAATTAAATTAAGCGTATAGTTTTCAGGTTTCAATTTTCAAGTGGTACAAGAGCAATTTCCAAGTGACACAAAACTTGAGAATAA